TGAGGATTATTAGAAGAAAATAAGAACATCATTATGAACCATGTTAAAATGGAGGTGATAGGTGATGGATTAAACAGAGGAGAGAGGTCAGAAGTGAAAAGTGAGAACTCTGAGTCATTTACATTAAAATAGTTGGAACCATGAGGAATTTATGCAGAAATATCACACCAGAAAAGAAAAGTAGAGGGTCACAAATTGGAAGACAATCCAGTGAGAGAGATGTTATGTACCTTAAAGTATAAAAAATCTACCATTGTGAAACCATGAGCCCAAACCTCTTAGCTATAGAGGCAGGTTTTCTTTTATTTGCCTGTGTATACTATGTTACAGATTATTTTCCTTCAAGCAAATATTGTCCTGTACACTGACATACAATTTTTTGGTCTTTGGCTAACTCATCCATGATGTGATAGATAAAAAGTATTGCCAACTTGTGTGCCTTACTTGCAGAAGGCGGTGCTAGAAATTAGAAAAGGGGTGGACGGAGAGTAGTTTATAGAAGAGTGACCCTAGGTCTATTTGTTAGCTATGCAATGTCCATAGCATTAAGATCAGTTATCAAAAAAAGGAGAAAAACCTGTTGGATAATGAAAACGCTAGAGAAATATTTTGAAAGGGATGAGATTTTCACATGCTTGAAAAGCACTGTACACAAGACAGTGTTTAAGTACAAGATTCACTGCAAGTGGATTCAATAGGAGTGTTTGTACAGTATTGCATCCGTAAAGCATGTCCTCCATGACACAATTATAAATATTAAGGGAAATGCATTTAGATAGGTAGGAATGTCAGCATTCAAATCACTATAAAATTAGATGGAGTACAAAAGAAAAGAAACCACACAAGCAAGCATAACAAGCATAACATGGAAATTCCCTATGGATAAAAGTAAATATGAGAGACAGTGAAATTTCAAAAAGGTTCTGATCCAACAAAACTTAGGAAAAGATTCATCATAGCTAGAGTTTTAATACTCAACAGAAGCTGATATTTTCAGTGTGTATAAAATATATTTGTACCAACTGAAAAAAAATATTATTCCCGTATAAATAGCCTAAAATGCAGTAGTGGCACAATGTACTTAAAAGGTGGAACTTATATCAAAATGAGTGTAAAATGTATTGAGCTTGCGTGTCAAGATTTTGGGCTTGGAGAGGGTGGTGGTGGTGGTGTCTGTGTGTGGTACAGAGGTGGCTTCTATGAGAAATTGGCAGAAGCTTCCCTGTGTCCAATAGAGCCAATGCCAGCTGGCTCCAAGGCAGATGCACTGCTGGCCAAGGCCGAGCCCACCAGTGACAGTAGTATCACATCTGGGATAACAGATTTAAGAAAGGAGGGAAAAAAACATGCAACAGCAATTACGAACAGAGTCAACAGTGAGAATATGTAAAACAACAGACCTGCAGACACCCAGGTCAGTGAAGAAGGAGGGGTAGCAGGTGCTCCAGACACCAGAGATTCCCTTGCAGCCCGTGGTGAAGACCATGGTGAGGCAGGCTGTGCCCCTTCAGCCCATGGAAGTCCAGGATGGAGCAGACATCCACTTGAAGCCTAGAAAGGACCCTGATGGAGCAAACTAATGCCTAAAGGTGGCTCTGACCCCGTGGACGGTTTTTGCTGGAGTAGGCTTCTAGTAAGACTTATGGACCCATGAAAGACACTATGCTGAAGCAGGTTTGCTGGCAGGACCCGTAATCCTATAGGAGTCCCATGCTGGAGCAGTCTGCTCCTGAAGAACTGCACCCCATGGAAAGGGATCCATTCTGGAGGCGTTCATGAAGAACTACAGCCAATGGGAAGGACTCACATTGGAAAAGTTCATGGAGGACTGTCTCCCATGGGAGAGGCCCCATGCTGGAACAGAGAAAGAGTGTGAAGAGTCCTCCCCCTGAGGAGGAATGAAAGGTAGAGACAATGTGTGACGAACTGACCACAGCCCCCATTCAAGTCCTTCTAACCACTGCAGGGGAGAAGGTAGGGAAAATAGGGAGAGATATTAAGTCTGGGAAGAAGGAAGGAATGGAGAGAAGGTGTTTTAAGGTCTGCTTTTATTTCTCATTATCCTACTTTGATAATAAGTTAATTTCCCCAAGATGAGGCTGGTTTGACCATGACAGTAGTCTCTGAATGATCTCTTCCTGTCCTTATCTTTACCCATGAGAATTCTGTTATATTTCCTCTCCCTTGTCTGGTTGAAGACAAGTGATAGAATGGCTTTGGTGGGCACCTGGAATCAATTCAGGGTCAGCTCATCTCATAAGCACAAACCTTTATGTGCAGCTGTATATTTCTTCTTGTCTATTATGTGCATTCCAAAGGGAAAGTTGTTTCCACAATCTTTCATTAGGCTGCCACCATTTTTCATATCATACTTAGGCATTCAGTTTTACCCTCAGCTAGAATGGTTTTGGTTTTCTCTTGTTCTCCATCAAATATATCTGACTTTCCTAGGTCACATAAAAGCTCAGTAAGTTGTGCACATCTCCTGAGGGGACAAAGTCAGGTTTTCAAAGCCCTCATGAAAAGCAAACAAATGTTGGAGTCCCTTCACAGACAAGTCTTCACTAGTACTGTCTGATCTTAAAAACACCCCAAACAGTCTCTGAGCTCCTCAGCAGAATCACAAACCTCCTGTCTCTTCACAGATCTTTCACTGACTTTGTCTTTCACACACATTATTTCTCAGTACTTTGATCCCCGTGTCCTGAGTTCACAAATTCCCATATATATCAGACCTTGCTCTCATCAGTTTTATTCCTGACAAGTGAGGTTTGCCTTTGGTATGGCTTACAGAAAGCATTGAAAGAATAAATATTTGTCTCAGTTTAAAGAGACAGGAGTGTTTTGCTAAGGAAAATGAGTTATGAGGTAGACCAAACTCTTTTCTCCCAGCAATTGTAAATCCGAAATTAAGAGGCTTCAATCAAGGAAATATGGAAAAAGAAAGAAATAACAACTCTTTCCTTCATTTTCCCAGAAAACAATGTAAGGACTGGCAACATTTTATCTAATCCTTGAACTTTTGCAAGCTTCTGTCCTGAGATTTTCTACTGTTCTATCTCATTGACAGCACTTTTTACAGCTTAGCTCCCACCTACATAGGCGTTGACACTCTGGAAGTGCAGTTCACAGACTTGTCTCCAATGACCAAGAGAGACACTAGACCTATCTTTGTACAGTCAGTAAAAAGTAGTGGCTATGTATGCTGAAATTCTATGATTTTCTAAAAACATGTTTTTGGATTCATTTGGACAAGTTATCTTATAGGATGCATAAGCATACTCTGGTTAAGGTTCAGCAGCAGATGTATCAGTCTCTTTTCTTTGTCTTGTATTTTGCCCAATTTATTCCTCAGCGTGTATTTTCATACAGATATTAATATTCTGCCACAATTGTCTGCCAAATATCCTGCTGATATTTCTAACAAAAAAAAGCATCTGACCACGGGAAGCAACACCCCATCAATAATTTTTACAAGCTCCCTTTCATTTCACTAAATAAGAGTCAACCATTAATTCAATTTAAATCCTATACTGATAAAAGGCAATTATAAAAGAGACTATTATTCATAAGTAGAAAACAAAAATTCCCAAGTATGAAAACTCTTTGTTTTCTACAATGTCAGATAACTCTCAGTACTAAAGACAGTTCGAATAGGGGCAAGTCTTCATTTTATCCGGATATATAGGGGAGCCACTCAGCAGATATTAATTATATTGGAGAAAATCTAGTCTGATTGCTGCAACCTGTGAATGGATTTAATGTTTTATTGTTTCAAAAGTGGGGTGAAACTTTAATCTTAGCTTTTGAATTGTAGTATAAGTTTAATATATACAGAGTTTGAGATCCAAAACAAAACACTGGAAAATCAAAAATCTCCCTTATCAGTTCCTTACCCAAGGACTATGCTCCTTGCAAGTACTTGAAAAGAGAAAACACAACCAGATAAAATAATATGGGCATCAGTTAAAATTACCACGGGAAAGGACTTTGTAAATAAATAAGCTAAAATTACTTCTGTGACAACATTTTTTTCTTATCAATGGAACAGAAGATGGAAAATATTTGTTAGTATATGCCAATTTCACTGATAATCATTTTCCTAGACAATCATAAAAGTTGCCCAGCAGGCATGTGTTCCACTGAGTGCTGAAGCCCTAAATGATCCATATTCCAATACATAAAGATGAATTTTATTATGCACCTCATGGAACTCCAGAAAGACAGTACTGAATAGCAGAAATTCTCTACGGCTTTGAAATTTTTCTCGTCATTCTAAGACATGTTAAACTTGTCCTAATTCTTTATTTCAGTGTGTCCGTTACTGTTGCTGTAGTTCAGAACTCTCTCTCAGATGGAAGTTTTTGGCTTTTTGGCAGGTTTGTCAGCATGCTGTCTCTTAACTTTCCTGCATAAGGTGAGGCAGGAATGCCTGGGATCCATGGAGAATCTTGGTTCCTTGAAAATATTATCACTGATAAGGTAGAAACTAATTTTCACCTGGGAACCTCTTTGGAAGACTTACTGTTGAAAATGTAAGCTTACACACAATAACTTTATGTAATAGATGTCACCAGGGGAACCGCAGTAGGTCAGTTTGCCAAGAGACCACCCTGTACCAAATGTTTTTAGTTTCATCAATGGAATGGACTGCAGAGTAGAAATGGATTTTGTGAGCATCCATTTTCCTTTCTGATCTTTTGGCTCTGGCTTTTACACACACACTTTAAAAATAAATGCTAAGTACTATGCATTGACAGCTTTAGATTACTGAAGTATCTTCAAATTTGTCTGTCTTGCAGAAAGACTAGACAAGCAATTCCTAAATAAGTTGTTGTTGTGTTTTAATCCCAGCTGGCAACTAAGCACCACAGAGCAGCTCACTCATGCCCCTCCCACTACCACCCCCACCTCCTGATATCCACTGGAATGTGGGAGAGAGAAAAGTGACAAAACTCATGTGTTGAGATAAAGACAGTTTAATAGTTAAAGCAAAAGCCGTGCACAAAAGCAGAGCAGAACAAGGAGTTAAGTCACCACTTCCTGTGGGCAGGCAGGTGTTCAGCCATCTCCAGGAAAACAGGGCTCCATCATGAGTAACCATTACCTAGGAAGACAAACGTTATCATTCCAAAGAGCTCTCCTTCCTTCTTCTCCCAGCTTTATAGAGTGAATCTGTGGAGGAACTAGAGAGTCTAACCTAGTCTGCTACTTAGTCTAACCTCAATTCCTGGGAAAAATTATGGATAAGGTTACACTGGGCACTACTGAAAGGCATTTAAAGAATGAGGGGAGTGAACAAGTAGCTTTTGGTTTGGGAGAGTCTCGGTGTAGGGCACTAAACTGGGGACTACCATTCTTAAACTAGAATATTCTCCCATATACTAAAACTGCCTAAACAGTCTAGATTAATATTTTGAATTGAGATACTAATTTCATTTGCAGATAACTGGCCAGCGCAGAACAATCACATAAATATATATCTGTACCCAAGTCCAAATCAGATTTGTTAAGTTTCAGGTTAATAGCTTACACTTTTAATTTTCCTCATATTCACTTTTCCAGTAGTCTTATGTGAATGTTTCACTTGGATCCATAGTCCTAGATGACATACTTATTTCACAACCCTGATATGGTTACGAGAGAGTTTTCATATCACGTTCAAGTAGAAAGCCAAAGCTCTCCTAGTTGTAAAGGATTAGTAAGGTTGTTCAGTCATCTGACCTGCGTAGGTTCAGCACAGTACTCCAAACACAGAAAGACTTTTGTTTTGCTTTCTCTTTCTAGTCTCTACTCAAGCACTGGAATGCTATTTATATTGAGAGAAATATATTAACATCTCTACAAATTGTTCAAAGACAGGAGTATTACATAGCTCTAGACCTGACTGTGGGCTGCAAGAAAAAGGGGTAGCCCTTTTCACTTTTTAGCTTTCTTGTAGCTGCTTGATCCTTCTATCTTCCTTGCATCAGAATATGCCGTGAAAAACTATTTCTATCAGAAGAAATACTCAAACATTTGTTTCAGTGAAGGGCTCCAAGACACAGACAGCTTTCTGCATTCTGTAAGACAGAAACTTTTATTCTGAAAAGGACTTCTGTTTTCCAGTTCAATGTAATGCATACTTTTGAAAACCAATTAAAACATAATAACATAGTCAAAAATTCTCTAGTCTATTAAATGGTTGATTGTACCCACAGTCTTTTAAGAATGTATTTAGGAATTTACAAAGTAAGTTAACACCAGTATTAGCATGAAATTAATGGTCATTTCTCCTAATGAATATCTCTTTAATGTATGTTACTGTTTTCATTAATCTCTTAAATTTGTTGTAATAAATCTGTTTGCAACTCATTATTGTAGTTTAAAATCTCTACCTGGGTATCTACAATAGATTTGCCAAATAAAATTTATTTTTTTTTCTAATTTGTTCTTTTTTTATTGTTGTTATTTTGGCTACTCTACAAAGAATGAAACAACTTTGTTTTCTGTTTAAAATCTTAAAACAACACTACTCGAAATGACTCAAATTGAGCATACAGAAACTATGGAAATGGAAATAAATGGGGGCAAAAAAGTAGGGTCACCTTCTAGTGCTGTTAGTTAGCTTAGACTGCATACTTTGTCAAAGCTGCTTTCATTTCTTGTCCCTATTACATTTATTTTCCCCTCTGCTACTTTTCATCTGTGCATTTGAAAACCTTTGTTGTTATAAACTCACTGTTTTTCCAGCAGATAACCGTCATTAATAGCAACATCATACCATATTGTGCATCACAATTCTTGAAATAAGGGATATCAAAAGGAATTGCCAGCGGCCCTTTACATATCTCAACTTTATAGAGTATTTTGATTAGAAATAAACCACTTCTGATCAGAACAAAAAAAACACAAAACCGCTATGTTTTCAAGTTGTGTAATTGTTTCACGGATGTCAACAATATTTTATTATCTTGATAGTGAAACTTGGAAGTTAAACACTGTACAAATGTTTCACAGTTTTAAAATTTTGCTTTAGAGTTTCACTTTTGTTTTCATTTTTGTTGTCAGTGTTCCAAGCCTTGAAAACTTTTGGGACATTTATCAAGTCCAATTCTAGTTTGTTGCTTGTGAAGTGAGGCAAGGTTATTGAAATTTGAGAGATTCAGCTAAGAAATTGATTCTATCTAGAAGAACATTCCTTTCAACTAGAATCTAACAGTCTGTGATGATTTCCCACTCCCCTGTTCTGAGTTAGTATAATACTGGTTGTGTCACTCCTATAGGCTCCACTAAGAGTCATCTGTACATGACACATTAGTTACTGTTTCATTCCTTCTTAGTAGCGTGGCACTTAGGAAGCTACTTAAGGAGTTCATCACTTCCAGGCATGGATACCTGGTGTTTTTAACTAATTTTTTTCTTTTTTTTTTCCTGAGACAGTAAAACAATATATATGAAGTGTCTCTGCAATCACTTGACAGAGAGTCATGTTCGTTCATTATGATCCTAGTTAATAAAGCTTATATCAGAGCTTGCACTTGCATTATTTAACATTTGGAACTGACATTGTCTTCTAAAGAACATATTCACGGATACGGTTTAAATTACTCAGTTTGAAAATCAAATTATTTCAGCAATTTCTCATTTCCTCTCCTTCCAAAGAGATTCTTCTATTCACATAAATGAATTATACTTGTATATACTGAAAGGCATAATTCTCACAGAGAATACAATATTCTATTCTTAAGTAAATTTGTTGGAATCTAAAACATGATCGACAATTTGTGGGGGTTTATTGTGTTCACACACCTTCAGTTTTATTTCTTTGTCTCATATTTATTCAGCCTTTAAATTCTAGTAAGTTTCCTCCTATGAAAGAGATAAAGAGCCAGAAGAAAGAAATAAAGTATCACTTCAAAAGCTACCTGTGATATTTTTAGGCAAAGCAAAGCATTTGAAGTTTTAATAGCATAATGATCTTTAGTAGACACCAGCAATATAGTTTGTAAGCTGGAGTGACAAGATAGAATTTGCAAGACATCTTGTCTATGATAGTTTCATGTAGGTAAGATAATTTACAGCCTTTGAGATTATTTTCTTAATTTGAAACAGATCGATAGAGTCACTTGGATTACTACACAGTATTTACACTGAAAGCATGGCTATTGCAGCACTTAATATTCTGTTTATCAAATTCTAGTCACCTTTTAATAAGAAGTTCCATGAAAACAGGATTGGTTATATGGAGAAAGCAAGGCTGGGGTTGCTGACAAAAATAAAACATATTATACGGATTACTGCCTGTCAGTGATGCCACTTTTACCTAATTCACATTGTTATTTCCTTTAGATGCATTTACAAAGATTTTTCTCTGCTTTCTTTATTAAAACAGACTTATTTTACTTAGACTAGGTATCCTGGAAGAAAAGCAAGTTGTAGATATTGTTCTAGTGCCTGCTGCTGCTGCCGTTGTTACTGCTGCAATTACTGCTGCAGTTTTGGCTTTTAGCCAGCAAAATTTCTTGAAGGCTGCATTGAAGTTGCCATGGGCACCATAGGATGATATATGAATGAATCACTAAATGGTCTTTTGGTCATGTTCAGATATTCTGTGAAGGAAAGGTGAGGCCAGACTTTAACAAGGGCTTTGTAAAAGTATTTTAAAACGGATTAGTAAGATGCAAGATGTTCTTCCAAACTGTCAAACACAACACGACCTTACTAACAAAAGTTTCCACCTCGTATTATCTTAAAAAATCACTGCTAGAAAACTACTAACTAGAAGAGAATACATGAGAAAAAATGAGTCCAGACACAAAATCAGAAAATAAAGGTCAGGAGAGAAAAGCATTAATGTTACTAATATCACTGCAAACCATCTTGGCACCATAACCGATATGATGATAATTTTATTTATGTGGTCACAGATTTCACTTATCTTACTTGGTGCTACTTATAATCTCAAAGCTTATACTCAGTATGCTATTCTTCCTCTCTTCTGTTTGCTCAGCTATGTCTATTTCTGTTTCAAATACCTCAAAAGGTAAGGCTTCAAGTAACTTATTTTACTGGAAAATGCTCTACAAGGTCAAATGGAAGGGGTGGAAAGGATATTCACTTATTAACAAGATGTCTTCTGACATAGCTGATATATGAACATTGCTCAGGCAGTTAATTGTTAAAGAGATTAAAATTCCTTGAGTTCCACATACTATAATCAGTCTAGACTGCAGATTTCAACCTTGTTGAATGTTCCATCCGCAAGACTAAACTGGTACCTTTTGTTTATCAGAGAGATTATTTTTTTGTTAATGATAAGGAAATGCATTTGTAAAGACTTTGAGACATTATTATCTCAAAGTTCAATGTCAACCTCTAAGTTGATGCAGTATCCCCAGGGTAGCAAGAAGAATCAACATATTTTTGCAAACAAAAGTGAAGAAAGATGCTGATAAATAAAGACCAATACAGTATTTTTCTAAAATAACAATGCATTAAAATTACTTTTTCAAAATAACTTATTTCAGAATTTAGATTCATTCCTTGGATCATCAGCATTTGTTAAAATTAGACTCAAATATTTTAATTTCCATATATCTAATTGCAACATATTCACTCTCTTGCTCTGCTGATGTTAATATTCTGAAATACTTTAGTTTCCTGTTTTACATTTAACTATTCCAATAACTGTGTTGGGTTAGTGTAAGGTCTGTTCCAAGTGCATGATAAATCTACTTTTTTTATTTATAGACTATGATTACCTCTTGCAAAACTGTGCAAAAAGATATTGGAAAATAGAGCTATCTCTATGACCTATTAATTGCAAGGCTCCGGGAAGTTCAGAGCACTCCCACTCCTTCCTACTCATTACCACTTAGGCAACCAAAATCCCATGTGCCACATGCACAAGTCAGCGATGAACTCAAATGTGATTCATTTAGGTACTTTCAAATAACTTTCTCCACATTCAATCACCATTTTTATAGAAGTATTAAATGCTTATAAAAATTCAGGAACAACAAATAAATAAATCAACATTTAAGCAAAAAAGTAAGATGAAATAAAAAGAGATGCATAAAATATTATGTAAAACTTAATTGTTTGAATTAATATTACCTAAAAGTA